CTTAACTATAAGCCTCAGAGTTAACTGCAAAACAGGTCACGGGTGTATGTTTTAACCAATTGAGCTAAGCTCGGAGATTATGATATTACGCAAATAGGAAGATAGTATCGAATATCATACCTCCCCACAATCGATGCCTTCAAATGGGACAACCATTTCAACCTCTTTTCCACAAAACTCAGAGTGCTTTGCTATTACTTCAGAGTCAGATCCTATAGCCCAAAATGTTGTGGAATCATCAGCAGCGTACTTCATCTGTTCAAAATGTAAAAGAAAATGAATCAGCTGAAGCTAAGTTAGTTCAATATAGATAGTCAAGAGAGCACCTTTACTTCACAACTGGCTAGATAGTCATACTTCACATGGTTTGGGTTGGACTCATAAAGATTGAACCGAAGAGTTCCTGTATCTTCATGTAAGATCATATTGAATGTTGAATTCCATACAGGGCTGGAGCCTGATCTTACTGAAGTTCTCCTACTTAGCTCATCAATTTCTACCTCCACAAATGTCTGCAAGTCTTCCTTATCAGTTAAGGTTTCTTCTGGTGTACTGTCCATGTAAGTACTCAGTGACTTTCTGGAAGAGTTTCCTCTCAAGCTGTTCCTGGAAAGCTTAGTGGCTGAGATGACTGTCACATATATTGTACCACTCACAGCCTTTTTGCCGAGGTCGACTGCTGGCAAGGGGAAACAGCGGTGTCGAGGTTCGACCATTGTTCTTACTAAAAAGTCCGTTAGAAGTTTAACCTGCAAAAGAATGTGGTATGACCAAATAAATGCATTTGTGTTCATTTGAAAAGTTCTTTCCTTTCTTGAAGGGAATGAGATATTTTACCAGCCAGGAAGATACACCAGGTAGCTCTGTTGCAGGCAACGACTGGCTTCCACCACTTCCAAAAGCAACGCCTATTCTTACTTCTGGAGTATGAACAAATGAATACAGAATCGCTCTCCCATCCAAGATTGGTCTCAAGAGAAGCTGTGTCAAGAACGATGACTATTTGAAGTTTGAATTTTATCGTTATGGTTCGATAAAATCTCATAAATAGTCTCTATGCTAAGGAAAGAAGGGTTAGAGGAAAGTACTTCACATACATCACCCTTTAAGTGAATGCTGTTGATAACAATCCGGCAAGTTCCAGTAAATGGCATGCCCAATTTGGCAAGTAACATGATACTCATTTCATTTGTGTCCCAATCAAAACCCAAACGCATGATTCTCTGCAATGGCATACATAGAGAGAACAATAAATATCTTGGTATCCGGGAATTGGTCGTCAACTGATAGCAGAAAACTTGCAGGACAACAAAACTAACTCTAATGTTAAGACAACATGTGCTTCCATTTATACGTGTGAACAAGAAAGTGGCCAAACATCAAATGTCCAAACAAAAACGATAATATATTTGTAACAGCCCAAGGCCACCGCTAACAGATATTGTCCTGGCTTTCCCTCAAGGTTTCCACTGTGGGATCTCATCGTATTGTAGATGGAAGGTTAAACAAGAAGGCAAACCTGATTACCAGATGTTGACCATTGTGTCCCACGAAGACCCAAGCCAGGGGGACATGAACCTAGAGAAAACTCCAAGAGTTCTACTCTTTCCTGCAAGGATGATTCCTCAATATGGACGTTGATGAGCTAATCAACTCAATAAAAAGCATTATAGAATATAATAAGAACTTACAATAAGTCTTGACCTCCGGTGCTTTAATCGTTTCTGCAGCAATAAAATTTCAAAAGTTGATATCAGTAGAGAGATTATGCAGACACTTCCATGTGAAAGCAACGATGAAAGCTTCACCTCAACAATAGTAGAGAACTTTAATGAAAGTTTTTGGTTGATGTGGTTAGGCCAAATTTGGGTCAACAGCTTATTCAACCATTCACAGTGCTCCAGTGGTGTAGTGGGCTGTAAGAGATTACAGTTCAAACAGTGAAATCCATCAGGGGTTTCAAAATCTTTTCTATTTTTTGGATGTTATGAAGGTGCTCCTATTGAATCGAAGAACATTACCGAGGTGTCCAATACAATTTGCTTCCATTTTTTGTTCAATTCTTCTACTAGTAGCTGACGTTGGAAACTCCCATACTGCAAAAAAAAAGGTCAAGATTTCATATGTTGTCGCGTTGTAGAATCCCAATTGGCTACACCCAATGAACATACAGCAGATGAAAGAAGGGAGAAGAAACTTAAAATTATAAACCAATTGCTTTGCTGCAAATTAATAGTTCGGGAAAGCAATCCAATAACAACTGAAGTTGGAATGAAAAAATATTGAATATGAAACAAGAACACCTCTTATCCTCTTTTGTTATCTCCCGCTGATAAAATAGGAAGAAACAATGTACATGTGAGATCCTAGAGGAACAAAACATTCTTTGTAGCGGTGGTGGGCATGGACCATTACAAATGGTATCAGACATTGATTACAAATGGTATCAGACATTGAGAAATGTGCTAGTGAGGACGCTGACTTTCAAGGTGGGTGGATTATGAAATCTCACATCGATTGAAGAGGAAGAGGAAACGAAACATGTCTTATAACGGTGTGGAAACCTCTCCATAGTAGAGGCGTTTTAAAACCTTGGTAGATTGTAAGATCCCACCTTGGTTGGTTAAAGAGGGAACGAAACATTTCTTAAAGTGTGGTCACTTCTCTAGTAGACGCGTTTAGCTTAGAGAGAACAAATACAAGTACAGAATTCAAGCTATGAAGGTAAAGAAGAAATAGCTGGATTCTAGTCCTTTTCGTTTTGCTAAACTAAGTTATACAAATTACACAATTGGAATTCGCAAGTCATAACAATTCCACTATGCAAAACCTGAAGAGAGGCGACCATTCAGTTCGTTACTCACAAGAAATCGCATTAAATCATGATGATCAAAAGAAAAACGTTCTTGGGTCGCAATAATTATGTGTAAAGAAGTGGAAGAATTACCTGTAAAGTCGCCCACACCGCAATAGCTAGCGGAATCCAATTAGAGAAAGAAAAAACCCAACCTGCAAAAAACAGAGGAACCAAACAGAAAAGAACAGCCTTGTCGAAAGCAGCATGCCGCAAAAGCTCAACACTCTCTTCAACGTTGAGCCTAAAAGGGTTCATCTTCCTCCCCTTCACTTCACTGCCTCAACACCCAACGAAATCACTCTCTTCACAGAACAACATAAATTTGCGACCCATAATTTCGGAAAGACAGAGGAAATAGGAACGCAAAGGGGCATAAATGTAAGATAGTGAGATATTCAGGTAAAAGAAAGAAGATAGAACATTAAAAGGAGAAAAGGGGAAGTGGGTCACATTACACAGTCCACACATAATGGAAATGAACATCTCCGATTTGACAGATGAAAGAGATAGAACAGAGTGATTTGGGAATACATTTCTTCATACAATAAACTGACGGCCATCGCCGGCACTGTAGGGAAGCTGTTTCAATTATTTTTTGATTGAATTTGCTATCAAATTCATTGAGCCAAACATGAAATGGGTATCATTTTTCTCTTTAAATCATTAAACTACAATAGTGAATAGTATGAACGACGTGCATGGCATGCGATTGATTAAAGAAAAGGATTGTTACACTCTCCCTATCATTTCTTAACTTTTTGTAAAGCAAAAGTCCAAATTTTTATCATTCCATGTGACCGCTAGTTTTGGTATGTTGGGGGATATCATTATTGCCGAACCCGATGCCTACATCGCATTTGCGGGTAAAAGAGTAATTGAACAAACATTGAATACGACAGTCCCTGAGGGTTCACAGGTGGCTGAATATTTATTCGATAAGGGCTTATTTGATCTAATCGTACCACGTAATCCTTTTGAGTGAGTTATTTCAGCTCCACGCTTTCGTTCCCTCGAATCAAAATTCAATCAAGTAAAGCCTTACTTAAAACTTCAAAAATGAATTTTTTTTTTGTGACAAACAAGTAGTTATTTACTTTATAGGATCAAAGTAAAAATTCGAAGAATGAATTTTTCTTTGTTAACATAAGATTAAATTGTAGAAAGAATCATGGGAGAATTTTTTTTTTTACCGATATTCCTCATTAGTAATTAAGAAACTCCTATTAAACAAAATAAAAGAACAAATTATTTCTTCCGCAAAATTTGGCGGGAATAAAATGAATTTCATGTTCCCTTCTTACATTACATGTGGATATATAATCCAACTATAGCAAATAGCGGCATAGAGTCTTGCATCTTTTTACATCTCTAGAGGATCTCTAGTTTTACTACGAACCTGTTGTTGGATCGGATTATAACGAACTTTTGGGTAATTTGTACGAAAATCTTTATGAAATTTTATTCAAAAAAATTATAAGACAAGATAATAAATAAAATAATACAAAAGTCTATTATGATAGATATATTTCATGTCGAAAGATGAGTAAGTCTATTTATTTATTATTTAAATGGAATTGCTCTATTTATCGATTTTATCGATATCCATCGATATATCTAGATAATTATATATATATATATATATATATATATATATGATATAATTAAAGGGTAGATAAAGATAATCAAGAGAGATAGAGTAAGGGTTCAAAAGAAGAGATATCTCCGATCCTAATATTTGAATATATTAAAGATTGCTAAAAATATATATTTCTAAATAAAAAAAATATAGTACTTTTTTATTTTATTTCATCTCATTTTATTGGCTGAGCCTTGTGATTTGACGGCAAACTTAAAAATCCACCTTTACGCCCCATACTTAACACCCAATTAAAATTTGAGCTAAATTTGATTAAAAAATAATTAAATTTTACTATTAAAAAAAAAATGTTAATTTTCAGCAAATTCAACTAACCTCGCTAAAATCCACCTACTACCTCGTTTTGAGGAACACGTGGCACTTCCTCCTGACAAATTGGGGGATTACAGTTCAGAACACAGCCACATCATCTCGATAAACGTAACCGCTGTCTGACGTGGCAAAATGAGATTGTTGTTTATGATGGTCCTGAATGCAGCGGATAAGTTTCCGTTGCGTATATAAGCAAAATCTGACGAGTTGTTCAGGTGCATTTTCTGTTAATGGGAAGTGAAATGAAAAGAATCGAATTGAGGTGAGGATTTGAGAAATCCCCAAGTCTAAAATTATGAGCCCTCAGCAACCTCTTAATGGGAAGAGGGATCAGAGCACAGCCAATACCAACAACAATGCCAAGGTTTTGTGTCCGCCTCCATTGAAGATCAACAAGGATTCTCATTTCATTAGGAAATCTTCGTCGTCTAATTCTACTTCGCCTTCTTCGTCTTCGTCTTCCACTTCTTCGCAGCTTGTCAATGGCGTCGCCGCCGCTGTTGCTGTCGCAGGTTCTGTCAAGCCGCCGCCGCAGCGTCATCCGGTGATTATATACACGCATTCTCCCAAAATTATCCACACGCATCCTCGAGATTTTATGGCGTTGGTGCAAAAGCTCACTGGAATGTCTCGATCCGATGAAGAAGCTTCTCCTAAGGCGACGAAATCTGGCGACGAGAATAATAAGGGATCTAAAGCCGTTGTGAGTGATGATAATGAATCGTCGTCCGTTGTGACAGAGGAGAATTGCTGCAGCGGCGGCGTGGTGGAAGGTCAGGTTAATTCGTGTTTTGCTCCGCCGATCTTCGAGCCACCGCCACCTCCTCCACAACTTGCTAATTCTTACCTAACGAACATTCCGGTTTACAGGCCGAATTCGACGGAGTTTTTGTGCTCTAATCAGCCGTTTTTTAACTACGACGATTCCTTGCTCTTTGGCGCTCCTAACATCCAATCTCTTGCGTCCACTAATTCTACACTGAACGGAATTAACGATTTCTGCGAATATGGCGAATATTAGGGCTTTTTGTTTGTGTTGATAGTTGAGTTTGGGGAGGGATTATTTGATTCCATTTGATTTTGATGCAAATAAAAAAGATTATCGTTCCTCTTAATTCCCGAATATAATCCTCTAGATTAGGGAACTAATTTCGATTTATTTCCTCAATTCCATAGAACAACATTGGAGCGGTATTTCCAAAATCCAACCCAACCAACCGAACCTTGATGGGTTCAAAGCCAAATTGGGTGTGGCTTTATTTCTATGTCGGTTAGAATAGTCCTCTTCTTCCATTTTCTATGGTAAGTTGATCAACAATCTCTCTCTCTCTGTTCATCTTCGATATGATTTATCGAAGGATTTAGAAGTGGATTATGCTTTGGTAGATGCAGTTCTGCAATAAGGATGGAAGATCATACATGAATGCTGGAGAGGCGACATTGGAATAATTTCTCCAGTTTTTATCTTTTTTTCGTTTCTTTTCAAGTTTTTGATCTGATGTAATTGTTTCTTCATCAATGAAGAACTCTTTTGTGTTCTTTTTTAAAAAGTCTCTTTCCAAGTTTTATTCCCATTATTTATGCTATTTTAAAGTCTTTTTTTTTTTTTAAAGAAAAAAAAAATCCATAAAATACATATACATATAATTTACAAAGGAAAAAAAAAAAGGTTCATTTCATTTCCTCTTCTTGTCTTCCTTCTTTTCCCTGACAAGAGCAACAGGAGCTGCTGGAATGCTGAACCACCATTCCCCAACTCTTCTTGTCAATCTCTCTGTGCTTGCTTTTCTTGGGGGTGAGTATCTGGTAAAGGCCTCCAAGAACACCATTAAAACTATGTATTTTGTGGGAAGGAAGGCCAGAGTTACGGCTATCACTAGAAGAGAACTTGCGAACTTCATTGTGGCCTGATGATCATTTCAACAAAATACGATGGATTCAATCAAGGAATTCAAAGAATTGGTTTGTGTAGTAATCCATCAGCAGCAGATAATGAACTAACTGGTTTTGAACCAACCTTTGGGAAAATGGCGAGCAGCAAGCCACGCAGCTTGAGGAGAACGATATTCCCGTCTTGGATGAACTCTTCAGCTTGCGAAATCGCATTCTGAACCGCCAAAAGCTGCTCCATTGCATTCATTGCTGGAGGTGCTATGACCTTAACTTCATTGACTGGGTTACCTTGGTTGAAAAGTCGACTTAGCATCATGAAAACTGCCAAGAACACGAGTAGCAGAGCAGCTGCGTACGACAGCCAGTCCCTGTGAAAAGAATGACATGACAAAGAAGTTCGTCTTAATCGCTGTATCGTAAATCAAATTCTAAATCAGAATAACCGAACTGGAGTTCAAACAGATTTCATGGGAGCTTCCCATAATGCAGAACATTTACCTGTAGATAATGTAACTGGAGACCACACAGAACGCCAAAGAGTTCATAGGATCTTCCCATAGTGCCAAAGAAAGAAGGCACTTCCCAACTTCACTCACCGGCAACATTAATTCCTGCAATGCAATAATTTAAAACAGTACATCCTGATACAGATTATATGAAAGATCTGAACATTCAAGATTCGAAATCGAGTTGCATTAAAAGTAATAATCTTCTAATAGGCAAGATCAATACCTTCATCACTGCTAAATTAGTATCGATGCCATCTACTTTTGCTCCATCGACCGTCTCTCGAGCCATCACCACCTTTTCATAACAGTTTTTTGATTCCTTGACTGCCCTTTCCAATGGAGTCATTTTTCCAACAGCAATCTCACCCACAACAAGCTCATTTTCGTTGGAATCAGTTAAAGCTGTTCCCATTCCGAATCCCAAGTGAGAAACGAAATCGAATGATGAGATCGAGTACATTCCCTTTTCATGACTAGATTTGTTTGTTCGGTCAGTCTCCTTCATGTCTGACATATTAGCAAGGGCTTCCAATATTAAGTCCCCACCTGGAAGTTGATCGCAAAGATTAAACATGAGAAGCGATTCGCACCCAAGAGACGGTGTAGAACATATATCTTGAATGGCTTGTAAACGTAGAATTCCAAGTACAGCTTTTGTGAGAGCTTCACTCCTTTGAATTCCCTTGATCTGGAACTTATTGATAAATCTATGAACATATAAGACCTCACGGATGATTGCCAGCCAAAAATCTCGACGAGTATGGCCTTTGAGTTCGGGAAACTCAAACACAACTGGTTCTGATCTACAAAAGTCACATTTACCAACAAAAAAAGAGGTGAAAATCAATAATAATAAGTTGTTTGCACCATTAGCCCAATCAAGCCCAGGCTTGCCAAGAAGAAAGGAACTTACAAGGAAATGGATTTATACAGAACTGCCTTATCAAAGAGCCGAGTACCCCATGGTCCAGTCAATTCAGGTTTGACAACCTGTTTCAGATCATCAGATAAGTCATATTTTTTTGCCTTGTCAAACGACACAACACGAAGAGCTTCGAAGTAAAGTGCATGATCTGTCAGAACCAACCTACCTGCGCAGATGACAAAATAAAGAGGTGAAAACAGAAATTTAACAGCAAGGTCTTCAAAATATTATCTGATATATACTGCCTGCTCCTAACATATCCATTCATTTGCACCGACGATATCGAAGAACGAAGTTAATCAAATCATTCCATGACTCACCCGGCCACGTAGAAATTCCTACATGTTCAAGAACTGGTTGTGTGGTGACTGTTCCATCCACTTCTAAAATCCTTTCTTCTCTTAATGATCTTTCAGACAGGAGAAGGTTAGACTCTGATAGGCTTTTCATTTTTCTAATAACCCTATCAAGATGACCAGGTGATATTAGACTTAAAGAACTAACAAAATAGCAACTTCGATGCATAAACACAAAAAATTGGAAGGGGCCTACTTTTCTAATGAGCTCAGGTACTTGTCGTAGACCGAGAACTGAAGTCTAGCACCAGCTGATGTAGTAAGCACCTCGAAAATATTTTCGCTAATGATCACATTTGAAATTATGGGAACTGCTGGAGCAATTCTTGAGAAAGCCTCCACCCCAACTGATGCATCTTCAGCATTCTGTAACAAGGGTCAGTTGTAGATGAATATTGAAAATACTAATATCAAATAAAAATTCAGCATGGAATCTTCACATGCATCGTGTAAGAACAGTCCGAGTGAACTACTAAATGGGATCAAAAGAAGAATCTTAATGATCTAGTATATTCATTTTCCAAACCCAATAAAAGCAAAATCTTACATTGAGTTCAGGCTGGCTAGAACTTGCTGGGGCTTCCCAAGCTATCATCATGTCAAATGTCAAGCGTCGAAATTTTTTATCAGCCAAATAGCCTGTATTATGTGTAGATACCGCAAGTGCCCTGAAACTGCAATACTCTAGAAAGTTTCTAGCATAATTCGAAGAACCCTTGATTGAATCAATTGCCTCCACATTAAAACTTTCTTTTAGTTCGCTAGCAGAAACACCAAGGATTCTGCATATTTGAAATTGCAATGGATTGAAATTCGATTTATTTAAATCCATGAACACTAATTCACTAGTTTAATATAAATGACGTCCAAGTAACAGTTGTAAAGAGATATCAAGTACCACTAAAATACAGAAAAAAAGTAAAGAACAAATGATTTTTCCCTCGAAACCTACAAGGACTGCTGAAAGAATAGAACATGCTATGAAAAATCTTACTTAGAACATCTCCGAACAACCACATTGGCAAATGGAGAGAGCTCACTTATCCAATTCCTCTGAGCAGAAGGAGATCGTTCAATTTCTTCAAGTTCTTCATCAAAGAAGCTTCGATTTCCTAACAACCATTTCAATGAACTATCTCTAACAAGCCCCTCGAGCGTACTTCTGGTTTTGCTGACCACAGCCATCTTATTCAAATTTCTTGCAATATAGCGAGCTGAAAGATCCCCATACCAAAACGTCCCCAGCAGATATCTAATAGACGGCCAAGACCTGATGAATTCAATTGATAATGTCACTTAAACAAACAAAACACTCCTGCCCTCGCACAGAACTAGTAACTTCATGCTGTATTCCAATCAATTGCATCCAATTTAAGAATACAAACAACTGCTCTGTTCGTAGCAAAAAGGTAATAATCAAACAGAGTAATTTTACTGTTTGTGCAACCTTACCTGAACACTGTAGCGCTACCCTTCAATTGATTTAAGCACCGAAAGAGCAAATCCAAGGAGCAGAGTATGAAATTAAGCAGCTCGACGATAACCCACCGCGATAAACTCCATCAAAAACCCAAAACCCACATTCTATCTAAAGTTGACAACCGTACCGAACAAATTGCAGCTACAAGGATCGTCATAACTTCGGAGCCCTCTCGTAATCCCTATGCTATCCGACGGTGCAAAACCTCGCATCACGAACCCCGCGCGCCATTTCTCTACAGACCCAAAGCGCCGATTCGCGGGATTTTGAAGAAAGACGCGTGGTGACAGCAGAGCAGCGAAGAGTCGGTTCGATCAGTCTCCCCAGTTGCAAGGAACGTCAAATATTCTGCGATGGGTTTGGGCCTTGATTCTTGCAATAGATATTAAGATGAAGAAAATAAAAGAATTAAATTTCAATCAGATGGGTCGATGAGTCATCCTCATATGGCATTATCAGTTCAATGCTGGTTGATGACACGATGCGGCAAATCATTTGGGGCCTATCTAATCACGTAGACTTTTTATTGTTCTTAATGCTAATTTGATTTCTCATTTATTAGTGATTTATTTTTGTATATTTATATCATATCTAAATTATTTATAATAATGCAACAAAATTATTAATTGCTTTACAAAATAGTTAGTATAGGATCTATTTCTGGGCCTGGATAAAAAGATTGCAATTCTATAAGGCCCAGCTCTAAAGTTAGGTCGGTGAAGCTCATATGTTGGGCCTCAATAGTTACATGGGCCTAATTGAGCTGCTTTTGTACAAGCCCATTTTTATTGGGCCGGCACATTGTCGCTCTAAATAGCCCATTTGGGGTTTCAAACCCACATTTCATCTTCCAAGAATAAATTTGATCCAATATCGCCAAGATTATCCTGTGGTTTTTTTTTTTTTTTTTTTTTTTTTTTGTCATAACTAGAGATGTGTACAGGACATTATGAAAATCAAACAATACTACGATAAAAATAAATTGGACGACTGGCCTGCGGACACGTTTCGTTGCCATAGTTCCGGGCGCATTAGGCCCTCTTTTTTATGCCAATACCCTCATTTTTCATCCCCATCCGTGTTGGCACGTTGAAAAATTCCCTCCCTCTTCCTCCCTCTCAACTTCGTCTCATTGTGACAAAAAAAGAAAAAGGGTCATCTCTCGCTACAATGAGATTCTCTTTAAATCCGCTAGATTTAGATCTTAAAGAATTTCTATTCTTAATAACTATTTGATATAAAAGCGATATATTTTTACAATTTCTCTTCGTACATTGAATGGTCGGGACTATATAGTTTTAAACTTTTTGGGTGATTTGACCCAAAATTAAGTAAGGGAGGATAGTGACGTAAGAGAGCAATATAGAGAACAAAATCCAACATTATAGCATGAGGGTGGATGTTGTGAAAGCAAATAAAGATAAAAATAGAAAAGAGAAAAGAGAAAAGAGAAAAGGGAGTTGTCTGAAGAGGATGAACAAATTAAAG